TTAGATTTGAACCCCCCCCCCCCCCCCCCCCAAAAAAAATCAATAAAATAAACTCCACTAGTACTAACACATTCAACTTTCAAGAAAAAGATCTACACAAAATTTGTCCAAATTAATTTGGGCCACTAGTTCTCTGCTTTTAAATTATTAGCCACCTTTTATTCCAGGCTAGCATTAGTTCACATGTCTGCAACTTTGCATGCATGCCAAAATTCTATCCTTCATTTCTTAATTATTTCAAATAGAATTCAAGTTATATATTCTCTTCGATTCCGACTTAATTTATGTGATATACTTTAGGTTTTGAGAGTCAAACAAATTCTTAAACGCATTATAAAGATTTTGAATGATTGATTATTATGATTCCAAAAATGTAAATTTGGTTCAACTTTTTTTAAAGATTCCATGTCGATTTAGTTTCAACAACAGCAACACACCTAGTGTAATCTCACAAGTGGAACTGTGGATGGTGATCTGTACGTAAACTTAACCCCTACCTTGCGAGGGTTAAGAATTTGTTTCAAAAGACGTTTGGCTCATTTTCAAGCTAAATTCACGATTAAAATATAAAAGTTTGACTCTCGAAATTTGAACAGTATCACAAAAATTGGGACAGATTGTATACCATTTGTACAAAATAAATAATAATATACTAATATGTTATCCAAAGGCTCCTCAAAAGATAGAATAATTTGATTTCTTGCCCTGATCATGTATATAACTTTGCCACAAATTTGCCTATAAATACACACCTCAACTTCATTATGCTCTAAACCTCATAAACATAGTAGCAATACAAAACATAAGTTAGCTCTACTTTGTCATGGATTCAAAGAGATACTTAGTTACTCTCTTTTTGTTCTTCAACATTCTTTTCTTTAACCTTGTAAGTGGTTGCTGGACTGGTTGTCCCAATCCACCAATTCCTAAACCAAACCCTAACCCTAACCCTTACCCGAACCCAAACCCGAACCCGAGCCCATCCAAGGGACATTGCCCTAGAGATGCCCTAAAACTAGGTGTATGTGCCAATGTACTTAACGGTCCGATCGGAGCGGTCATCGGGACCCCACCCCACCCGCATTGTTGTATGGTATTAGGTGGACTTTTGGATCTTGAAGCTGCTATTTGTCTTTGCACTGCATTGAAAGCTAATATTCTTGGAATTAACATTAATATTCCAATTGCATTAAGCTTGCTTATTAATACTTGTGGCAAAACACTCCCATCTGATTTCATTTGTGCCTAATAAGGTACAAATGTTTCTCTTTTGGGTCGTGACCAAAAAAAAAATTAAGTTTTAGCGACTAGATTATTCTTAACGACCCTCAAGTTGGCGCGAAAAATCATTTGTGACGAATTTTAATCATTTTCTGTGGCGACTAATTAAAGTTGCATTTGTTGTAGTCATGTATGTGAAGTATTTGGAATTTGTTGTTTGTATGATTCTACGAATTTCAATTTTTGTTTGTTGAAGTTATATTTAATTAGGATTAAGCACTTGATGATTTAATTTGTACCAAGGGATTGTTATTACATCTCTTTTCTTTGTTGACTTGAATTTCTAGTTCAATAATATTTGCTTTTAATTTCTCCTTAACATATATTTTCTTGCTGAGTTTGAAAAATAACTCGGGATTATATATGTAGATTAGTGCACAATACTTGAGGTTCTAATTGTTATTAAGTTAATTTGAGCAGCTTAGTTAGTAAGAATAAAGCGCGATATAGTGTTCATGTAAGTATGGACCGATTCTCCTTTATTGATTCTAACATAATAGACGAATTTCGATTAGTCAGCATAAAAAGGGTAATAATATCCGACAAGACATGATTGCTGAGATGATAAGATTCCTTCCCCTCCAAACCTAAAATTGTGGGTCACCAAGGGAGCGGGGAAAATATTCCCTTTGTCTAGACATATTATTTTTTTTTCATCACAAGATTAAAACCTACTGAATCGTAATTAACATTTAAAATTGCACCTTTTATTATTTTGATATGAATATCGGGATTTTAAAATTAAAATTGAATAATTTAGTCCATTTAATTTTCGAATGAGGATTAATTTGACTCAGGTGAAAAGTATTGATCCCGATCCTTTCTAATATTTATCATTTTAATATACTAAGTCGATATTAAACTTTTTTCTAATGTCACCTTTATTAACTACATGAAGAGATATAGTCAATTAATTACTCATTTAAGGTAATTAATTAACTTCTAACTTAAGATAATTTAGTCAAATAATAACTTTTTTATGATTAATCATATTCTTAATTGATTTGACGTAACTTTAAACCACATCCACATAGAAAGAACGAAAAAGGAGTAGCAAACAAATTAAACAAACAGAGTACTTTTTTATAGTTGTGGTCTGAAATTAAGAATTCCATAAATAGTTAGATACTCATACCCACTCAATTTTTAGGTGATTAATAGGGTAGGTGACAACAAGAGGACATATTTAATTAGTAAGTACTCTCTCTGTTCATTTTTACTTGTCTGTTCATTTTTACTTGTCATTTTGGACTTTGCACATCACTAATTAAGAAATATATATGATTTTATCATAATGATCATATTAATTGATGTTTAGAATTATGTCTTGAAAAATAATTTATGAATTAAGTAACAAATGCTAAGAATAAAATGAAAATAATAATAATTATATTTTCTTGATATATTAAAAGTAAAAAGTAAAATGTTTATGAATGGTCGCACAAACTATGGAGATCGTATTTGGTCCAAGTTGCTTTATTTGAGCCCAAATTATTGGACAAGTTTTCTGTTTTCAGAACCAAAAACTTGGAACCCACAATACAAACAATAAAACTATGTACTAATAATTTATGTTAGAATAATTAGTGTTTGATTGGTTAGTATTTGAGAGGAAGTTTGTGGTAAACTACAAAAAGGTATAAGTGTGTTTGCCTTTTTAGCACTTATCATCTTGGTTTAGTTATATGAGGAACGTTTGGGAAGGCAATTAAAGTTTGGCCATAAAATTGAGAGCAACTTCCACATATAGCAAACACAAAAATCATATGTGTATGCTATAGCTATAGTTTGCATAATTGCGCTCCATAGTAAACATAAATATGAATATTTCACTATACATATACAAAAGAAAGCAGTTGTATATAATCTGTTTCGGTTTCGGTATACATACACAAAAGATCAATTGTATAATCTGTGTTTGTATAAAGCGAGAAAGAGAGAAAGGCAAAAGAGAACTGGGCAGGGGAATATTTGTATTGTATAATTATAAGTGTATAAGACGAAGATATATGTATTTACATGTGTATATACAATTTTCTCTCGCTTTATACAAACATAAACGCAATTTATACATTTCTGTTTGTATAAGCGAGAGAGGCGAGGGAGAACTGGGAGAGTGGCGAGCGAGATCTGGGAGAGGGGAACAAAAATATATGTATATATATAATTTTCTCTCTCTTTATACAAACATAAACACATTTTATACATTTGCATTTGTATAAAAGCGAGAGAGGCGAGGGAGAGAATGAGAGTGGTGAGCGAGATTCACCAGGAGAGAGGCGAAATAGCAATAGTTTGCTATGGGGTACAATTAAATCAAACTATGTTTATAGCATTTAATTTTAATTAATAGTTTGCTATTATAAACAATTTTCCCTAAAATTAATAACAAAAAAATGCACTTGGGCCTTGAACAAATAAGTAAGCCCAAAATTTTATATTCATAAATAGCTATAATTTGGACCATAATTATAAATAGTAGTTATAATATGTCTAATTACAATTCATAGCAACGATTTTAGAGAGTAGAGAGGTTAGCGAGATCTAAAGTGAGAGACGAGTGAGATACAGATAGAAATAAAGGAGAGAACAATTAGTGTATCAGTTTTTATGATACATAGATACACTCATACGATTGGTTGTATCAATCTAAGAAGTAGAGAAGATTCAAAAGCGAAAAAGAGTTTGATACATATTTTTAGTCTAGAATAGAATGCAAACATTGATCAACATATCAAGAACCCATAATGGAATATTTTGAAATCAACGTTAAATCGTATAAAAAAAATGAATTAAGAAGCAACAACCATCCTGAAATTATTGAAGCAGTGGCGGACCCAAGTTTTTTGCTCAGGGGTTCAAAGTATAAAGAAGAAGTTCAGGTAGTAATGCAAGTGTGCGGTGAGTGTAGTAGCCCCCTCGGTATGCTCTTTGTACAAAAATCATAAATATTTAATTGGTTCATAAAAGTAAAGACTAAACTAATCAAAGATATCGAGGACAAAGATACATTGATAAGAATTTTACCGGATCGACTATATTACATAAGTTAATTCCTAAAACGCGTGAAAATTAAATGATGAAAAAGGGAGCGAGACGGGGAAGAAAGATATTTACCTTATCATGCTAAATTTAACTTACTTTATTATACCATATTAAACATTTCTTTTCTACTTTTATAATCCATCGAGCATTCTTAAAAATTTCTTGTGTTTTTATACTTTTATTTTGTAATGTTTTAGTTTAGTTTTCACTTTTTAAAATTTTTAAATTAGTATCCATTCAATCACGTATTATTATGAAAATCGCCAACATTCTCTAAAAGTGTGTAAGAATAGAGTTACTAATATTATAATGCATATTCAGAAGATAAATAAATAACATCGTCAATTTTTTTAGTTCATATAGTTCAATTTACTAGGTTAGTCATATTTTGTAAAAAATACAAATAACGAATAAATCAAATAAGTTTAATTTCATCCCTCTAAAATAGAATTAAAAATATAAAATAAATTTCATGAATTCTATAAATTAATATTTTTAAAAGGATGTTAACGATATTTAAGTTTCTTCATTAAATTACATCTAATTTACCTTCTTTTTTTAAAAAAAATAAATATATTTCTATCACAATTTCAAGTTAAATATAATTCATCATATTTAAAAGATATTTTCAAGTTAGTATATGAAAAAGAGTTACGTTGAAACAACATGAATAATAGATATAGAAATAATAAAAAATAAAATATTAGAATGTGGCTAATAAATTTAAACAAAAACAAATTAAAAAGAAGAAATGGAATAAAAGGAAAAAATAATGAAAAAGAAGAAAAAGGTCTAAAAGCCCAAAAGTTCCATTTCCCAAAGCATTAAAAAAATAGGGGGGAAATATTGCCTAAGGGATTTGAACCCGTGACCTAGGGGCATATCTTGAACCACTTATCCACTGAGCTAAGCCTGTACTTTATTTTTAGAAGGTTCATTTTAATTTATATACCCACAAAATCAGAATTTGACGTTATATATATTGTGTAATTTTTTGACGAGGGGAAACCCCCTAGGGTCCACCTAGGTCCGCCCCTGTTGAAGGTCAAGAACCACACGTGTACGTAGATAAAAGTAAAGTTTAAGGGGTTTTCACGAGAGTAAGAAGAAGAAAGATTCACGCAATGATTTGTAAAGAGGGCGAGAAGGGAATGTGAAAGAAAAGAGAAAACCAAGAGAGGGAGCGAGGGAAGAGAGTGACGAGAGAGAAATGAGAGGAAAGAGATTTCTCATAAAGCCCTATAAGTATAGATATGTTAGATAATATTTTGAAAAGTATCGATAGGTTATGTATATGTAATGTGGTTTTTTTAGGCCTATTTATTTTAATAAAATACTTTATTATTATTTTATTAAAACGGCCTTAATAGTATTTTTGTTTGAATTAAAGTAGATGATTGTTGTTTTCAAAGGTGCTATTTGGGGAAGAGGTTTTTAAAAGGAATTCAAATTCTTTTGGCATCATATAAATTGTAAGGAAATTCGACCACAATCTATGCAACTATTACGAAAGATAAATTCCTTAAAGACGTTAAAAATATTGTCAAGTCGTTTTATTACTTTTCAAATTTCTTCAATATTTTCTTACAATTTAACTGAAGAAGTGTCACTTCTTTTTATTTTTTGATTTTCCACTCGATATTTAGAGTCCGCATTGAAGTTCTGATTAATTTATTCAAATCGCACACTACAGGGATCATTTAGGAGTAACACTCCCAAAAAAAATTCTTCATACCTAAATTCGAACCACTGATAAAAGGTGGAATAATCCACCATTACACCACAATCTAGATTATTATTATTTTGGGTGATTTTTCACCTGGTGTCCGAAGCCCACATTGGATCCTCGACTAAATGTGGATCGTGCACTGCAGAGCCCATTCGAGAATGACGCTTCCAACATGATTTTTTTCATACTCAAATTTTGAATCCAAAACATCTAGTTAAGGGAAAAACAATCACATAGTCAGCGGTGTCACTTCATTCTAATGGATTGAAAGGAGAGCAAACTCATTTTTTTCGATAATAGTAATATTTATGAGAAAGTTGCCGTTTTGGTTCCTCTATTATTCTGTATGTGTACTTTTAGCCTCTCTATTATCTGATTTTGCACATTTAACTTTGATTTGTTAGACTTGCAATTATTCACCCAAATCTTAAACAGAACTAGCTCATCTCAACACTTAATTATGTAAGCTTACCCATTAATTAATGTCTGTATATAAAATTACTCCTCTTTACTTTTTAAGTGATCAAAATGGCGTATACGTATTT